AGAAGAGCTGAGCACACACAGCTGCAACTGAAGTCAATGGGAACTGTGCTTTGAACCTAGAAAGTGCTATATACTGCTAAGTACTCTGAAAAATCAGTCTTAGATGTGTTAAATTTAGCACCCAAAATTAGTGGCTGCTTTTGACCTTAATCTCATTAGGTATGTCTACACTGCAATTTGAGAGGTATAATTGCAGCATATGTGTACATACCTGAGCTAACTTTCATCTAGCTACATCAAAGCTAGCTTGAGTAATAATAGAAGCGGAGACTCAGCAGTGGTCACTAGAGTATGTACCCAGGGTCCTGGCTGGGCAGAGCTAGTGGGTGAAGTTGCCTATGCTTTGGTATGTCTGCAGGTGCTGCAATCACACCATCTGATTGTAGTAAAAAGAAAAGGAATACTTGTGGCACCTTAGAGACTAACTGATTGTAGTGTAGACATACTTTCTGTGCCTCAGGTCCTCATCTGTAAATAGAGATAATACCCCCTTCCCCCATGCACCAACACCCCCACTTTACAAGGAGTTGTAAACATTAATTAAATAATATTGATAAATTGGAGAGGGTTCAGAGAAGAGCCGTGAGATGCTTTAAGGTTTAGAAAATGTGTTTTATAGTGATAGGCTCAATGAGCTCAATCAGTTTAGCTTAACGGAGAGAGAAGCTTAAGGGGTGACTTGATTACAGTCTATAAGTACCTACATGGGGAACATATTTAATTATGGGCTCTTCAGTTTAGCAGAGAAAGGTGTAACAGGATCCAATGGCTGGAAGCTGAAGCTTAACAAATTCAGACTGGAAATAAGTGTGAAATCTTTAACGTTGAGAATGATTAACCATTGGGACAACTTACCAAAGAGTTGTGGTGGATCCTCCGTCGCTGACAACTTTTAAATCAAGAGTGGATGTTTTTCTAAAAGATCTGCTCTAGGAATGTTGTGGGGAAGTTCTGTAGCCTCTGTTACACAGGAGTTCAGACTAGATGGTCACAATGGTCCCTTCTGGCCTTGGAATCTATGAAGCAGTCAGATATTATAATGATGAATGCCATAGAAAAACCTATGAGGAAATTAATTCTGGCTTTAGAGCAGGGTTTGAATATTGTGCAGTAAATAAGGCATAGGGCACACATTAAACAACAAGGAGAAAACAGAATATTGAATAGCTGCTCATTAAGTGAGCACAGTCCATCCTCTGCACTGAATGAGTCAGAGGTCCTGTGAAAAAATAGTGTATGATCATATAAGTAAGGATGGCCATGAAAAAAGCTAATGCGGTCTTGGGATGCATCAGGCAAGGTATTTCCAGTAGAGATAAGGATGTGTTAGTACCGTTATACAAGGCACTAGTGAGACCTCATCTGGAATATTGTGTGCAGTTCTGCTCTCCCATGTTTAAGAAGGATGAATTCAAACAAACAGGTACAGAGAAGGGCTATTAGGATGATCCGAGGAATGGAAAACCTGTCTTATGAAAGGAGACTCAAAGAGCTTGGCTTGTTTAGCCTAACCAAAAGAAGGCTGAGGGGAGAATTGATTGCTCTCTATAAATATATCAGAGGGATAAATACCAGGGAAGGGGAGGAATTATTTAAGATCAATACCAATGTGGACACAAGAACAAATGGATATAAACTGGCCATTGGGAAGTTTAGTGTTGAAATTAGATGAAGGTTTTTAACCATCAAAGGAGTGAAGTTTTGGAACAGACTTCCAAGGGGAGCAGTGGGGGCAAAGACATATCTGGCTTCAAGGCTAAGCTTGATAAACTTATGGAGGGGGATGGTATGATGGGATAGCCTAATTTTGGCAATTAATTGATCTTTGACTATTAGCCATAAATATGCCCAATGGCCTGTGATGGGATGTTAGATGGGGTGGGATCTGAGTTACTACAGAGAATTCTTTCCTGGGTATCTGGCTGGTGAGTCTTGCCCACATGCTCAGGGTTTAGCTGATCGCCATGTTTGGGGTCGGGAGGAAATTTTCCTCCAGAGCAGATTGGCAGAGGTCCTGGGGGTTTTTCACCTTCCTCTGCAGCGTTGGGCACGGGTCACTTGCTGGAGCATTCTCTGCACCTTGAAGTCTTTAAACCACGATTTGAGGACTTCAGTAGCTCAGACATAGTTAGGTTAGGGCAGGGATCTCAAACACAAGTTACCAGGAGGGCCACATGAAGACTAATACATTGGCCCGAGGGCCGCATCACTGACACCCCTGCTGCCCCTGGCCCCACCCCCACTCCACCTCTTCCATGAGGCCCACCCCTGCCCCACCTTTTAAAATGAGATTCTTTCTACCTATCTTTGCTGGATTTCCAGGTAGAAGTTAAGCTTACTAAGCCTTTTGAAAAAGGTTGGGGATAATTCTGGAGACTTAATCAACATTTCTGTTCTCTAGTGAAACATTTCAATTGTCCAAAGCCATGAGCTATTGCTAAGTGTGTAATGGCTTCAACATTTGTCCATTAAGTTGCTGTGCTATGTTTCTATCTCATTTCTTTCTATGTGTTTAGATAGCTTTAGTATGGAACACACTATATAAAAGCAAAATCACTTCTACTCCCAATTCTAATTGTGTATTACATTCTTAATACAAGGGTCTGTATTAAAGGCATTCTTAATTATAAAGTTGCTACACTCTATTATGTCTTATGATTTCTACATTTCTAATGGAACACATGAAGAGTCAATCTGCTTTGTTGCTCTATAAGTGTTTCCTCAATGATTTGGAGAGAAGGTCCAATGGTGGGATCCAGAAATATATTAACAGAAGGTAGCTGCTCCATTTTATATCACACAAGATACACTGAAAATCTTTTGGCTAGACTACCCCTGGTTATTGAGGCTTTAACTACTCCGTGATGTGTGGTTCTAAGGTGAACATGAGTTAATCTAGCATAGAACTGGATTAGTTTTTCAAAGTCACCAGAGGAGGTAGACTTCTTTCTAGCCTCCTCTACTCTGAGGGTTTATTTGGTTATTGTTGCAGAGAGATACTGCCCTCCTCCTTCCATATTCTCATTCTCCACCTTCCAAAAAGAAATTTTCAGACTTTTTTATGGGGGTGGGGGGGAAGGAGAGGGATTGGTTATTTAATATTTGGGACATGCACAGCACCTTTGTACTCTTTCCTGCATGGCATATACCCAGCTGGCTACGGAATAACTGGCCCCTATGTTGAGGTAACTGGCAGTTTCTCTGAGCATGGACTGTAGAGCCCTGCGTGCCAGTTTTGTATGGAGTTTGGCTGGACTTAGCCAGGGACTCTGATCTTGAAGGACAGTGGTGCAGAATGTGCAAGGCCTTCTGTTTGTGGTTTGTGTTTTGTTTAATGTTTCTCACGAATTTATCAGTGTTTGTTACAAAAATTTTAAAAATGGGTGAAAACTGATACAAAAAAATCAGTCAGTTTTTTAGGTAAATATTAGCAGTTAATATTGTGGGATGGAAGGAAAGAAGAAGCAACCAATAGAAAGATAATAGTAGTGAAAGTAAAAGCAGTTTAATGCTGGTTCATTTCATTAGCTGTACATTAACTGTGCATACACACACGCATTCATGTACATGTGCGTATCTTCCACTACGTTGACTTACTTTAACAGACAGCCTTGCATTTACAGTCAGACTATTTTATTATTAACATAAGAAAATCCAGTCCATTAGGTAGATGTGTTTAACATAATCAGTACTTTTCATATACTTAAGTGGTCCAAAATTTGGGTTAATATCTGTAAAACCTGAATAATAGCTTTTGTAAGAACTGGGAATTGTTTTTTATTAAAAATTGGTAAAAACTGAAAACTAAGGGCCTTAAAAATGTATAATTGGGCATCTGTGAGTGTTGAATAGTGAACCCTTTCCCTTCAGAATTATGACTAGAGCAGTGTTTCTCAATCTTTTTGAGTTCAGGACCATTTGTAAACTTTGATGATTTGTTGCAACCCAGAGGCCGCCCTCCTCCAGGGGGCAGGGGGATGTCGGACGGGGACAGAGGAGCTCAGAGCTAAGATTCCAGATGCTCCAGCCAGATGTGAATAGCTGGAACCCCAGCAACTGGGGATGGGGGGGTGAGCCAAGATAATCCCCCCAAAACACACTGTCCCCGCATATGGCCCATGTCAGAGGTGGAGGGGAACCTGGGGAAGGAATTTTGTGGGAGGGGGCAGAGAGATATGGGGTATTGGGGGGGGGAGAAGGATATGGGGTCAAAGCAGTGTGGGGGAGGGGCTGTGAGCCTATAGTGCCCCCAAAAACATAGCCGCACGCATTACCCGTAGGCAGCAGAGGGTCAAGGGGTAGGGGGAATTTGAGGTCCTGGCGGTAAAGTGGGGGGAATGGAGGAAGGAATTAGTTGGGGTATAGGTAGCATGACAGAGGGGAAGTCACCTGGCTGAGTGAGAGGGGTATATTGGGTGGGGGCAAGCTTCGTGGGGAGGACAGGAGTGGAAGATGGGGTGCTGCTCAGTTGCAGAGCAGGATGCACTTTGGGAGGCCAGTACTTATTGGAGAACACGACATCAACTGTTCCCTCTCGGCTCCTGTCCTTGTAGGCGGCGGGGCTTGGCTCCCTGCTCTGGGTGTTACATACACCAGTGTCAAAGTACTGCTCAGATTTAGCATGGCCACCCTGCTGGGGGGGGAGGGGAGGGGAGTGGGAATTTGTGTGAGTGACATTGTGGCCTGGCTCATGGGGTCATAGCGCCCAGCTTGCCCACCGTTGTCATTACGGAAGAGTTGCTAGGCCAAACCTAAGCGGTACTGCAACCCTGTGTACCAGGTCACAACACAGGGAGCAAGGAGCCAAGCCTAGCCAGCCCTGCAACTCTTTGAAGTGTTCTGGCGACCCAGTTTAAGGTCGTGACCTGTAGGTTGTGAAACCAGGGACCTAAAGTCTGTAGCACTCAGGAAGCTTGCTGAGCTTCAGGTGAGCAGCCTAATGGGCCAGACTTTTGCCTTGGTGTGCAGATTGCTGACACTTATCTCTGTTCTTTTAACAGGCTGCTGATACTCTTGCTGTGAGACAAAAAAGAAGAATCTATGACATCACCAATGTTTTGGAAGGCATAGATTTAATAGAGAAAAAGTCAAAAAACAGCATCCAATGGAAGTAAGAAGTGTCAATTCTGCAAGTTTTCACATTCTCAAGGGGGGAAAAGTTGGCCTAATTCCTTTTTCCTTGGCTATATTCAACAATAATTAAAATTCATTTTGTAATCAGTGGTAGCCTATGTAGAATGTCAGTGGTCTCAATCCAATTCCTAATGACCAGGTGTCCTCTCTGCAGTTGGCATCCTTGCTTTCAGAGAGGCCAAGAACTGAATGGTGCTAGAGACTGAAGTACTCTGAACTGTGAAGTCTGAGGTTTTCAGCATATTTGAGGGGCAATTTAGCATTGCTGTTTTTCATATTGTACTGTGTCTAGATTGACAGTCCTGAAAAGTGAATCTGGCCATTTTCATGGGCACTAAAATTTATATAACATAACTTTATAACTTGCTACTCAAAAGAAATAAATCTTTGAACTTCAAGAAGAGTTTGGGCAGGGATTGGAGATGTGGCTCTGATGTGTGTGGTAGAGTTGAACAGAGCAGTGCTAAGGACCAGGCAGGCAGTGTGCTAGCCTAAGATTCGGCCTATAAGAAAACATGTTCCATTCTTCCATCGCTCGTGTGAGGAGCTAACTAGGGGGAATTGAGCTGGGTACACAGTCCTGACACAGAAAACACCACCTGCCTTGAAAATGGAAATCAGTGACGGGAATCCTAATGTTGGCCCCACATTTAAAACATTTTTCAATATTTTTATACTTAAAAAAGAAAAGCAGGGATTTTACTACCTCTTAGTATTTCATAATATAATTAATATGGTGGGCTTAAAAAAAAAAAAAAAAAGCAATACCCATGCTTCAAACTCTCTCTCTCTGTAGTTTTTTTACGTTATCATTACACATATTGTGACTGCATAAAATATTGTACCTTCTAAAAGAGGTGTAGGTGCTGGCTGCAATACGAAAGAAGTCATAGACAGACTGAGGTATCTTGAAGCAGAAATTGAAGATTTGGAACTAAAAGAAAAAGAGCTGGATCAGCAAAAATTATGGCTGCAGCAAAGCATCAAAAATGTTATGGATGACTCCACAAACAACCAATATCCTTTGGGACGTACATTGTGTGCATTCGTGAAATAGAATTAAAGAAGCACCAGTCATATATTAAAAGGTTGGTCACATAATATGACCTGCTCTAGAAGTGAGAAGATACTTGAACTAGGTGACCAAGGGGGGTTTACTAACTCTAGAAGAAATGGAATTGGTCTCCAGCATTTTTCTGTTAAAATATGATTTCAATTTTCTTTTGCACTGGTAGCGAAATTAACTCGCCTTGTGAAGCAAGTGCTGTGAGACAATAGTGAGATCCATTAGGCTGTGGAATACACAGTGAGATCTAAAGGAGTAGAAGAAAGTTTGCTTGTGGCATTTTAAAACCAAGCTAGACAAAGTGCTGGAAGATATACTGTAGGGAACAATCTTGTATTAGCAGAAAGAGGCACTGGATGGTCTAATACAGTGGTTTTCAACCTGTGATCCCTGGATCCTTGGGGGTCCACAGACTATGTCTAAGATTTCCAAAGGGATCCCACCTTCATTCAAAATTTTTTAGGGGTCTACAGATGAAAAAAGGTTGAAAACCACTGGTTTAATAGGTCTTTTCAAGTTTTAACCTCTGTGGTTGTATCAATGGTAATCTGGAAATAATCCATCAGAAATTTACACAGTGGTAATTTTTTAATGCAGAAAATCCAGACTTTTAGCTTTAACTGAAATTAATTGCTTTCGTGGTTTTGTTAGATTTAGGATACTCCTGGATACTCTTCTTTGGTCGTTCATAGGATAGGTTATCTAAATCTTTTGAAAAGATACATGAGTTGATAAACTCCTCAGGCTTGTTGAAACTGGAACTGAAATTATCCTGTGTGTAAACAGGTAATAAGTATATTGTTTAAACTATGTTTGCTCATTACTTTGTAACCACATTTAGCATTTTTAGGGCTAGTCTACACTGGCAGTGGTAAAGTGCTGCCGTGGCAGTGCTTTAACGTGGCTTGTGTAATCGTGGCAGAGTGCTGGGAGAGAGCTCTCTCAGCGCTCTAAAAGAGCCCGCCTCCGCGAGGGGCGTAGCTACCAGAGCTGGGAGTGTGGCTACCAGCACTGGTGCACTGTCTACACTGGTGCTTTACGGTGCTGAAACTTGCTGCACTCGGGGCGGGGTGTGTGTGCGTGTGTTTTCACACCCCTGAGGGAGAAAATTGCAGCGCTGTAAAGTGCCGGTGTAGACAAGCCCTTAGAGGATGTTGAACAAAATAGGTTCTTAGAGACTTTGGAGAGGGGAAAATGCACTCATCTATAAAATGAAAAGGAGGACTTGTGGCACCTTAGACACTAGCAAATGTATTTGAGCATAAGCTTTCGTGAAGTGAGCTGTAGTTCACGAAAGCTTATGCTTATGCTCAAATAAATTTGTTAATCTCTAAAGTGCCACAAGTCCTCCTTTTCTTTTTGCAGATACAGACTAACACAGCTGCTACTGTGAAACCTGTCTTATCTATAAGTAGTTCTAAAGCACTTAACACTGTATTATGATTGTTCAATAGAAACCGCTCCAATCAAATCAGTGATTTTTATCACGTCAGGGCCTGCTTAAATGGACAGATCATTAACCTGATAAACTACAGCTGTTCTGAAGTGAATCCAATCAATACAGATGACATAACAGGTAAGGTCCCTAATCAGCAAAGCAATTAAATGTGTTTAAGTGCTATGCTGAATTAAGGCCCAAATGAGCAGTGAAATTTTAAATTTCCCATGGAATAATTAAATTTCCCACAGCTGCGCTTTACCATTGCCAGTGTAGACTAGCATGTGCAACTATCCATTTTTAAATGAATTATCGATTGTGAAGGCACAGTTTGGTCCAGTTTCGCAAAGCTCTGAGTGGAGTCAGTTTGCTGAGAGTGCTGGGAATGGAGTGGGATTAGGCATCCCAAGCCACCAGAGAAGGTCTAATAGTGAGTAGTGTACCAAACCTCGTTAACAAAATAATTTAGTAATTGGGATATAATTAAATATCTAAAACAATGTAAGGCTAAGTTTTGTCTTGTGTGATACTGCAAGCTGAATACCTAGTAAGCAAAACAAAACCCAGAGTGCCTGGCCTCTACTTCTAAACACTACAGATAAAATGACTTTCAGAAAACAGCTTTTACATTTGAAAAAGGGTAGATTTGAAATGAAAACTACAGTGATTAGTTATAACCTAGTTGAAACATTGACTAAGAACGTATTGCGTGAAACTTCAAAACAGTTGATATAAATTATGGCACTGTCTCTGTAGCTCCAAATGGTCTCTCAGGGAAGTCCAGTCCTAAAAAAACCACCATGTGCAGTACTCAGTTTGAAATAATTATTAGTTGAATGTGGTGGGATTACAGGATTAAACCCAAAATGTTATTTTCCAGGAGGAGTTTTGACTAGGACCCATTTAAAAGTGGAAGGGAAAGCAGGTGGTTTCAAAGTTGTTGTAAGTGTATGAGGATATGGGTATATACACAATTTTTTAAAATAGAACTTGTTTTACACCTTTGGAAGCCCTGCCATGCCCTTGCATTAAGATATATTCAGAGCTCTCTGTCCTGCTTCTCAACATCAACAGGTTCCTATTTGGTGGTTTAAATTTTTTAAATTACATTTTAGTGGCTTACATTTGTTACAAAATAATTTATATGTTAATGGTGGCAGAGTTAGCAACTATCATTTGACTGCACCAAATTCCATCAGACAAAATCATTAAAACTAAATCATTTTGGTTCTAAATTATTTAGAAGAAAAACTTACATAACATGGGTCTGGGAACCAGTTTTCTCTCTCTTGATAATGACAATGTCTTGGTTTTGCTGTAGTTTTTACACAGAAACAGTAAAACATCTCATAGCTTTCTGTTCTGTTGACTTCTCTTAACTATACTTACAGCAGCCAAAGTTATTTTTTTCAGTAAAGTGAACAATACTTTTTCCAAGCTCCAGTGCTGACCTGTGTATTTTTACGGTTGACAGGTAAAACCTTCAACATAAGGATTTTTAATAGAGAAATTCCCGTAACTATGAGTTAAATCCAGGACAAACACAGGATGTTGTTTCTTTTCCAAGCCGCTTGCCTCGACTATTCTGTAGGCTGCATTTAGTTTTTTGATGGGTATGTTGTCACTGGCAGAATTCATCCTGGATTCATCCAGAATTCGTGCTGATCCACGATAGCTTTGGACATCCTGTATCGTAGCGATATGATATTAACCAGACTTATCAGTAAAAAGGAAATGGTGATAGTATGTGTGAAATACATTTAAATAACATTTTGGAAACTTTCTAATAGTAGTCTAAGGCCAAAGCTATGCTTGAAAGGCTTTGCTGGTCTAGTTATACTGGAATGCTATATTGGCAAAGCATTTATAATGTGCACATAGGTGGTAATGACACAATTCTGCATTTGTATAGCTGCATCCACCTTAAGGGTTTTTGCCACTGTTATGTCAGTCACAGATCCCACTCTTGACCAACATTAGCTATAACAGTAAAAATGTAAAGTGTAGACCTCACCTAAACAACACACTGTAGGAACACAAACTTCTTTTGTAAATGGCACTAAATATCAACTTCACATTCCTTAGGCAAAAATCTCAGCTTCTTACTTCTTTAAAATTTCCTTGACATAAATCACATTTTCATATGTCACTCATGAAGACATCTGTAATTGCTTCAATGGTAAGTTTCTGCTAGACTGTATTTTTGTAAGATGTTTGGAGCAGGTGGTTTAACCAGGGAAGACAAGGCCATAGTGGAGAAGCTAAATTAATTCTTTGCATTTGTCTTCACTGCAAAGGATGTGAGGGAGATTCCGATATTTGAGCCATTCTTTTTAGGTGACAGATCTGAGCAACTGTTCCAGATTGAGGTGTCAGTAGAGGAGGTTTTGGAACAAAGTGATACATTAAGCAGTAATAAGTCACCAGGACCAGATGGTATTCACCCAAGAGTTCTGAAGGAACTCAGAAATGAAATTGCAGAACTACTAACTGGTATGTAGACTATCGCTTAAATCAACTTCTGTACCAGATGACTGGTGGATATCTAATGTAACACCAATTTTTAAAAAAGGCTCCAGAGGTGATCCTGGCAATTACAGGCCAGTAAACCTAAATTTAGTACCCAGCAAACTGGTTGAAACAATAGTAAAGAACAGAATTATCAGACACATAGGATGAACACGGTATGTTGGGGAAGAGTCAACATGGTTTTTGTAAAGGGAAATCATGCCTCACCAATGTATTAGAATTCTTTGAGGGGGTCAACAAGCATGTGGAAAGGGTGACCCAGTGAATATAGCATACTTGGACTTTCACAAAGCTTTTGACAAGGTCCTTCACCAAAGGCAAAGTAAGGAGCCATGGGGTAAGTGGGAAGGTCCTTTTGTGGATCAGTATGGTTAACAGATAGGGTAGGAATAAATAGTCAGTTTTCACAGTGAAGAAAGATAAACAGCCCAGTCTCCAGGATCTGTCCTGGGACCAGCGCTGTTCAACATATTCGTAAATGATCTGGAAAAAGGGGTAAACAGTGAGGTGGCAAAGTTTGCAGATGATAAAAATATATATATATTCAGATAGTTAAGTCCAAAGCTGACTGCAAAATGTTACAAAGGGATCTCACTAAAAGTAGGTGACTGGGCAACAAAATGGCAAATGAAATGCAAAGTAATGCACATTGGAAAACATAATCCCAACTATACATACAAAATGATAGGATGTAAATTAGCTGTTACCACACAAGAAAAAGATCTTGGAGTCACTGTGGGTAGTTCTCTGAAAACCTCCACTCAATGTGCAGTGGCAGTCAATAAAAGCTGACTGAATATTAGGAAAGGGATAGAAAATCCATGGTATTCCCACACTGTGAATATTGTGTGCAGTTCTGGTTGCCCTATCTCTAAAAAAGATATATTAGAATTGGAAAAAATACAGAGAAGGACAACAAAAACGATTAAGGGTATGGAACGGCTTCCATAGGAAGAGAGATTAAAAAGTCTGGGACTGTTCATCTTAGAAAAGCGACAGCTAAGGGGGTGATGTGATAGAGGGCCATAAAATCATGAATGGTGTGGAAAAAGTGAAGAAAAGTGTTGCTTACTCCTTCACGTAACACAAGAATTAGAAGTCTCCCAATGAAATTAATAGACAGCATGTTTGAAAGAAACATAAGGAAGTACTTCTTTACACCACGCACAAACAACCTCTGGAACTCATTGCCAGGGAATGTTGTGAAGGCAAAAATTATAACTGGGTTAAAAAAAGAATTAAGTAAATTCATGTAGGATAGGTCCCTCAATTTGTTATTAGTCAAGATGATTAGAGACGCAACCCCATGCTCTGGGTGTCCCTATGCCTCAGACTGCCAGAAGCTGGGACTGGACGACAGGGGATGAAGCACTCAATAATTGCGCTGTTCTGTTCATTTCCTCAAGCATCTGGTGCCAGCCACTGTTGGAAGACAATTTAGTGGGCTAGATGGACCACTGGTCTGACCCAGCATGGCCATTCTTATGTTTTCATGCATTAACCATCAGACTTGAAAGAAAGCTGTTTGCTGTTTGAAACCTCTAGAAATGGGATCTTTTCAAATACCTCTCACCCCAGCCCCTCGCCAAAAACACATATCCTACAATACAAAATGGCTATTTAATGAAGATCTAGAACCAGGGATTCCATATTCCTGCTATTGAGCAAAGTTCTTACAACATGAGGATCATTATTTGTATTTATTATTTTGTTACATAAACCTCACTGTAACATTAGATCCCTGTTTTTTTCCCATGGTTACTTTGAATTTAGAAAATGTTTGCAAGTGTAATCATGTTTGTAAGGAATGGAACTTACAATACATAGCTACTTGATACTTTGAAACTACATACTTTGACAGAAGCAACATGAGCTATTAGGTGTCTTTTCCATCTGCAGTTATGGAAGGGGGGCTTGGTTGCCCCCGGGGCATTGGTTTTCCTAATGCAGGCTCTGCAGGACCTGTCCAAGTTCTGAGGTAGGAGATGCGGGGGGCAGGGCAGGACATGTTGGTCTGACCCACCAGAGGTTCCCCAGAAAAGACAACTCAGGCCCAGGCTTCCATATATTTTCTGGGGACAGCTGCAGCCAGGGGGAATCCCTAACAGTACAGTTCCAGTGGAGCCATGCTGCTGGGGATAGGGGAAGCCAAGAGCTGGGGAATAAGCACATAACATCTGCACAGATGGCTCCACTCTTTTCATGGACTCCTCCTATTCCATGCAATTTGGGGGTGGTGAAAAACTGGGACCTCTCGCCCACTGGAGAATGTGGGAGACTCTCTGCAAAGATCTCTAGCAGAGATTTCCCTCCCAGGTTCCCCTCCTGGTTTTTCCACAAGAGGGGACAATGTGGTCCAAAGTTTAGAAAACAATTCTAGGTTACATAAAATGCCTTTTTATTTTTTTAACTTCTCTAGTTTTGCCTGAGGAAGAACTTCAAGATAATGTTCTCTGTTACCATGTACTTCTATGTACTATAGAGTTTAACCCCAAAATGAAAAAAGGTTATTACAAGAGTTCACTAATTATAAAATATGGAAACACTTAGCACTTCTCTCACTGTAAACCTCATTCTATCTCGCAATATACTGTGAGAGAAAGAAGAATTATCCTAATTTCATAGGTGGGAAACTGAGGCACAGAGAAGTGAAGTGACTTTCCCCTGGTATTTCAAAGAGTCAGTAAGCTACAGAAAGAACAGTGGTGTCCAAGTGCACTATGCAAGGTAACTACACCCAAATTGTACATCTACAGAGGCTGGAGTTCTGGGGACATTTAAAGCTAAGTCCTTGGATATCATGGTTATGAATACAAAGATGGACAGCTTTTCTTCAAGCTTTGCTCTCATTCATGTTATAATTTGTTCCTGAAGAACACCAAATTGTGCACGATTTGTATCAAACTAATGCTGAAGTGGCATTAGAGAAGAACTGTATTCCATTTGCGTGTACACAACCCAAGAATGTGTAAAATTACATATGGTTAACATTTTCTTAAATTACTACTTCACCAGGAGACACACTTCTAGCAATTCAAGCACCTTGTGGTACACAATTAGAAGTACCTATACCTGAAATGGTATGTACAAACTGTTTGCTTACATATGTGTGGCGAGGGAGGGGTAAGGATGCCTGTGTTGCAGCTAGCAAGGTTTGTCTCTTCGTCTGTGTGGGAGGAAAAAATTAGGATTCACCTAATTGGATGTGGACTGATATTGGGTAAACAGCATTTTTGCACATCTTGGCAGAGTAAAAGTGATTGGACCTTTCAGTTAAAACAAGATACTTTCGGTTTTCCACTTCCTTCTCTCTTCTGCTTGCAAAAGCCCAATAGCTGCTGTTTCCCTCCAAGCAAAAAGCAGTGGTGCTTCCTTCAGAGTCTGTCAATGGTGGTCTTTCAGTGGCAAGCTCCTCTCTTCCCAACCCCTGCTGGGCCAGGGAATTTGGAAACCCAAATCAGATCCATATAGAACAACAGAGGAAGCGGTAGAAAAACAGATAGAGGATCAGAGAATAGAGAGAGCAAACTTGCTTTGACAAAGAACAATGGATTAAGACAATCTATTTGGCTTCATGTTTTTTACCTTCTGCTGTCTTTAATTTCTGTGATACAATGCTTTTCAGTTTTTCATGCTGCCTACATAGGTGGGGAAAGAGTGGCAAACATTTTTTGTGCAGTAGTAGGAGAATAGTGATTCCATTTGATGCGTTTCATATTTTAATTTGAGCAAGGAATGAGTAAAAAGCACCATAACTAAACAATGAGGTTATAAAAAATGCCACAAGGTGAACTGCAATGCTAATCTAGTGAGACTGTCCTTTGAACTGGTGGACACAGATAATTTGTATTAGAGTTGTCTCCATGACTGAAATATCTCACCTGTTCCCAAAATAGAAAGATAATGACTTAATCCTATTAACTAGCCAATGGTAGCAGCACTGCACATGCCAGATTGAATCACAAGAACTAGCTCTTTAACATGAAGGCTTTATGTTGACTATTCTGCAGGGAAATTGTCCCCATTAACACTAATTTTCCTGTGTTCACTGAATCACAGGGATTTGGCTATGGGGGGACAGTTAGTTCTAATCAAGACAATTTTGCAGATGAGAAAATTATTTTAAAGAGGCTATGTCCCAGTGGTCAGTTTTTAGTGGGAATCCTGCTGTGATTCACAGCTAAGCTTGAATTCAATTACATGAGCATGGCACAGAATTCTGTACTTGAGTGCCATGTGTCAGTGTCATAATTAATGTGAGAATGTAGAAGGGTTGTAATCTTATCGGTTATGGGGTGGGTTGGTTTTAAATCTTTTTCTGTGATATGTGAGGTTAGTTAACTTTGCATAGAACTGTCTTAATGTGGTCTTATGACTAGAAAATTGTATGTCACCTTGCTATAGCACCTTGAGAATTTTATTCTTAAATAAAAGTTTTCTACTTAGGCAATTATGCATTTCCATTACTTTCTATGGCAATTGCTGCATGCAGTTATTTGCCTTAATTGTCAGTCACAAAGAATTGTAACTGTTGTTTCAATGTGCCACCTTTAAAGGGACAAAACGGACAAAAGAAATACCAGATCAGTCTAAAGAGTAGTTCAGGACCTATCCATGTGCTGCTTATTAATAAAGAATCAAGTTCCTCCACACCTGTGGTGTTTCCAGTTCCTCCACCTGATGACCTTACACAGCCCCCATCTCAACCTGCAACTCCACTGACTCCCCCAAAACCTACTGCATCTACTGAGAATCCATCAGAGCAGCATGACATTAACCAGGAGCAGCATTTACCACATACCCCAGTTACAGATACACCATCAGGTGGGTCTCTGGTTTGTTCCCCCTACCCCCAAAGAGATTTGTTTAGAGATCGGGTAGAGAAAGGGAATCAACTGTTAGCATAATGTAGCAGCTGCCAGCCTGAGACCTGACCCCAATGGAGTTACTATCAGCTGGCTGGAGGTTGCAGGGGGAGGTCACTATCCTCTTCCTGTTCTATGTTCAGACTTCTGTTGAAATGGATTGTTCCACTTGCAATTTATCATCCTATACCAGAAACACCTCAGAAGTGATCCAGGAACTAGCCCACAACAGGGCTCTGGGCTGTTCCTCAAGGTGATTGCATGTGCTGTCTGAAAAAGGCTTCAAACCTCTACTGGAATGTAAAGCTTGAACATTTAACATTTACCTTTGACAAGCTTGTACTAGGACAGTCCCTGCTGTTGTTGCAAAAGGCAGTTGTATGTGAAAAGCAGGCTCAGCAAGGGAGATTACCTGAACTTGTTTTTATCACTAATAGATAATCAAATGCTGTTTAGCAACATACTACATTGTGAACCAAATCTCTGAAGGGCCTTGAGACCTGTGCCTGGTTTTTAAAAGGAGAGGACATCTCAAATACTGGCCATGTTCTACCAGTAGGACTTAGCCAGATACAGGTGTGTGCATATAGTTTACCATACCAAACTTTGTAATATGTACTTTTCTGCCATTGTAGACAACAGTATGCAAGAGAACAATACAACTCCAGCAACTCCTTACTCTAGCCTTCCGGACTCCTTGCTGTATACGAGCCTTGCAACAGATACAACACAAACTACTGCTAGCTCAAATGACTATCAGGCCTTGCTTCCCTTGGATGTTAATTGTATTCTCAAGCCAAACTCATTTGATATAGCAAAGATGGATGAGCCCACAGGTAGGCAGACTTTCTTTAGTTTAACCCTTCCTGACAAAGCTAAAAGCAGATTTCCCAGGGGAGAAGAGGCCAGCAGTTTGTCTTGTCTGCAGCCTTTCCCTTCTCCCTCCTGCAGCTCTTTTCTTTTCACCATTTTGGCTGTGGTTTCTGTCTGGTTTGGGGTAAAGTGCATCCCGCATAAAGATGCTCCATTCTGGTATATTGGTTACATTCCCTTTGTAGTTATAAGTGTTTGTGCAACCTAAGAATAGCACCAGAAACTGTCCAGAAGGAAAAGTTAAGGGGTTTTATTATTTTTAGCCCAGTAGGATACTGGTCTGGTTGACTATCTCTACTGCTCTTGCAAGCATTAAATTATAAATGTAGCAGCCTAGCAGCTAACACTCTCCATTTCAATAGCTGTTTAATGCATAGAGCCTGGGTTGACTTTCACAAACAAGTGCTTTTGTGTTTAACAGGAACTATTAGTAGTGATATCATTGACGAATTGATGTCTTCAGATGGTAAGCATTTAGCATTCCTATCTTTTTTTTAATAAGCAGAGTTATATTTTAAGAATGTGATTCATTCAAAGAAACATAGGACTGGAAGGGATCTCCTGAGTCATTGAGTCTAGTCTTCTGCTATTGCAGGCAAATGTCATTCATATCTGAATTCACCATTTCCCTAGATGTTTGTTCAAATCTGATTCCAAACTTCATTACAAATATCTGATATTAAAACAGCTGCCACACAGGCCCCAGCTTCCTCATTTCCCCAGCGGTGCTTGACACCTGCTCTGCCCCCACTCCACCCCTTCCTGCAAGTCCTCTTCCCTGAACGTGCCCTGCCCCCATTGTCTCCTGCATGCTGCTGAACAGCTGATCCCCAGCGGGTGGGAGGAGCTGATTGGCAGAGCTGAAGGTGGGCAGGGGGTGCTGGGGTGGGGGTGGAGCTGATTGGCAGGGCTGTCAGTGGGTGCTGAGCACCTACTATTTTTTTTTCCACGCCCGGGGCACCCACGGAGTCAGCGCCTATGAGCTGCCAGCACCGTTTTAACCATGACCTATTTCACTCCCACTTCTTTCCTGCTGCAGCTCCCCCTTTACACCCTTATTCGAGTTTCCATCACTAACCTGTTTTCCCTTCCAAACTGACCGTCACTGTCAAGGTATTAAGGCCCAAATCCTGCGAGCACTTACGTGTGTGAGTAATGTTATACATGTATAATACCTTTAGATTCAGTGATATTACTCATTTGCATTAAATGATGCCAGTGTTCAATTTTTTGCAGGCTCAGGGCCTAATTGAATATCCAGTTGGTGAGAGAGAGAATGACTCAGTGGTCAGGGTATTAGCCTGGAGACACCTGGGTTTAATTTCCTGCTCTGCTGCAGGCTTCCTGTGTGAGTTTGGGCAAGTCACCTAGGGCTTGTCTACACTTACCGGAGGATTGATGCTGCAGTGATCGATGCATGGGTGGTCAATAATCGACCGCTGATCGCTCTCCTGTCAACTCCTGTACTCCACTGGATCAAGAAGAGTAAGGAGAGTCGATGGGAGAATGTCTCCAGTCGACATCATGTAGTGTGGACCATGCAGTAAGTAGATCAAAGCTACATCAACTTGAGTTACGCTATTAACATAACTCATATTGTGTAGCTTAGATGGACTTCCATGCATAGAGTAGACATGGCCTCAGTCTCTTCATGCCTTATTTTCCAGTCTGTAAAGGGGGATAATAGCATGCCCCTACCTCACAGGAAAAATACATTTGAAGATGGTGAGGCACACAGCTACTACAATAATGGAGGCTATATAATACAAGAGATCCACTGCTAGGTACGAAACACAAAGGCTGCTTAAGTGTTGCTTTGCTGCAGCAGAGGAGACTAATCTCTGTTACACTGCACTGGCTTTGCTGCAGGTAAGATGGCAAAGGAAATTCATTTAAAGCATAGTTAATAAATTGCGTCTGTGCATTTAAATTATTTTAAACCTTATTTTGGTGGAGTTGCACCAGGATCCCCAATGCACAGTCCAGTGCTTGCAGATAACTACTGCCAAAGCAAAGCAAGTTGTAACATTTTGGACTACTGAAACTGGACATCAAAGTTTTTATTTACCTTCTGCTGGAAATGATTTGAAATTTATAGGATGTTGCAAGGCAGAATTTCAAATAATAGATTTCTGTGATTCTATGATTAACAAAACTGTTCTTGTTTTACAGTTTTTCCTCTCTTACGACTCTCTCCTACTCCTGGAGATGACTACAACTTTAACCTGGATGATAATGAAGGAGTCTGTGATCTTTTTGATGTGCAGATACTAAATTATTAGATTCAGTGGCAACCAGACTGTCATATCTACCTCTAACTTTATAACATTCTAGACTTCTTCATAACCTAAGTATTTTAAAGAATGAATGTATAACCTCTTAGTTCACTGACTCTGGGAGTGTATTTCCTTTTGCTTCCTTACCTACTTCACAAAACACCTTAAATTCAAAACCATAAGAAAGGGCTCTTATCAAAGTGTTCTCTGGTATTTTTTTACAAGTTACATTAATGTAACTCAGCTTTGAGATCCCAAGTTCTCCTCTTCTCCCCTCCCATTTTTCTTGCAGTCTTCTGGTCACTTAAAAAAAAAAAAAAAGAGAGAAAGACCCAGGCTTGTCACTTAGCAGAATTTTCTTTCTGAAGCTTTACTGCCAAGAAGCTTTCTGTATGTTTTTAACCTTTCACTACAATTTTTAAAAAACGTTCACTGCCAAATTTTGAAGTGAAGGACATTAAATGGGTTATGTTAAATTGTTTCAGTGAACCAATTTTGTGAAGTGCCTTCTGTTTTAGCACTTTAAGTTTCTCACATTTTAACTTCTGACATTCCACTTTCCTAGATTATAGGAAAAGTCTGTTTGTAGTTTGTATTAAAGTGTGCCAATGCTTGTATATTAACAAGATTTTTTTAATAAAACTGTACAAACCGAGTATTCAGTATCTGCCATCCACTGATTTGCCAGTAAATTTTGCTTTTGAAACTCGGATATTTTATTATGCGTTACAACTGAGATAATAAGCTTGCAGCTGCATCCACATCAGCTGGTTCACCTTCCAGGTGCTTGGAAACCTGAAAATTGAAAAGAAAAAAAAGTTTACATAAAATAGGAAGCTGAGGTTGTATAAAAAGCATCATTGATGGAAGATATAAAGCTAACAAATACTTGCTGTCTGAAAGATTGATTAGCTTGGTGTACTGGACTGCAAGACATCCTACATTTCTTGTACCTTATTCACTTTATGGGAATATGTGATTTGCTAGACTAGATGGACCAGTGGTCAATACTTAATGCTTCAGAGGAAGGCCAAAACAATCCGTGCCCATACCATATATGGCCAAAATGGAGATAAGCTTGAATGCTCTAGTCAACAAAATCTAAAATTGTGAAGGAGATTATTACTGCACAGAGACTAACACACTGTCTAACTTGTTCCAGGGAGATGGCTTGAATTATTACTAGAGCTCCAGAAAGAGAGAATATTTTGATGAGGAAGCTGCAACTGGAGCAGAGGTTGGGCTGATGTTTTTACAAAAAAAAAAGTTAATATTTTCCTATTGACACTGTCATCAAATGGTTCAGCCAGGAGATCCAGGATGTCTTGCAAAAGCAACCACCTTTATTTTCTATGCCTATTCGTGTTAAGGGTTAACTCGATGAATCAAGGTTTCCAGTTGAAAATCTATTTTATTAATTTTTAAAGCTCACCAGTAAAAGAATCAACTAAAACATCCAGATATTAAATGAAAAATCTATTCTGGCAACAATCTAGTGATGCTCAACTATTTCCTCTCTTCTGACTAAGAAGGGAGTTTGCCCCTCAGAAGAACTGCTAAGGTTGCTTGCAGACTTGACACCTCTTCATGATGGGGTCACAACTATTTTTTTTTTCTTCAGTCAAGACCTAAAAACTTATTAAAATTAAACCTTAACTTTGGAATCATTCTAACCTGAGGTTGCTGCTACCCTCCCAACCAAAGATGCATTAAATAGGACTCAAAATTATTACCCGCTGCCTCTTTTGAGATTTTGATGAAATGCCTTTTGATAGTTGTTTGACTTCTTTCTGTACTTCAGTAAATGCTTTATTTACTGTTCTAACTTTTTCATCGTTCACAATGTTTATCTTTAGAGGAGAAAAAAATGCACAAGTTAGTCAAAGGCAGAAAGAGATCTTAATATGATGCTAAGACTTATTCATAGCCTATTTATTATATATATTTATAATGGTTCTACCTTTTAAAAATTGCTTGGAGTGGGGCACATTCTTTAAATTATATTTTAATTGTACTACTGTTGAATGTGTAAATATTAAAGATAATGAATTTTTAATAGAACTTTCATATAAATGGGTCACTAGCAAAGAAATCTAATGAATAGGTCAAAGCTAACTTGTTTATATTGGGGATAAAAGGGGAAGAAAGATTTCCTTCTGGAAATGGAACACATAACAGAAAAATAGTTCAGACAAACTAGCCCACCTTCAGTTTATTTTAGCCAATATGAAGAGGCACCCAGTCCAGACAGGTTCCTTATTTCTATCAGCAGGTACCTGTAATTTGTAGTTGCTCATCTCATCTTAACTTGATCTAATGGGCCACTTTTCTGTAACAACAGCATTCTCAAATCTATTTTACTATTATATACAAAATACTATATAAAATGGAGATTTGGCTCCACCTATAGATATTCCTGAGTATAAACTCACTGCTATTGTTTCTCACTGAAAGTTATCTTTGTATCTGAATAACATCCTCAGGTGCCAGTGACACAAAACATTTTCCCTTTGAGTCACTGTTTATTTCCATAGCTTTGGTAACATTCCAACTTTCTACTGAATGATTTGTTTTCTTTTGTCTATAACTTTCAGCAGGAAAGTTAAGAGGTCTTTCCTTAAACACCCTCCTCAGAAAAAAAATGTGATTACAATTGGCTTAGCTATACGTTTTCCAACAGTTGGAAAATACTTACTGGAAAAATTTCTTTGTTACTTTATTAGATTCTTAACAGTTTAATTCTGTGGCAGATTATGCAGTTCAGGACTGACACAAGTTTTGGGAAAACAAAGCCAAGTAATGTGGTAGCTAACAAGTCTAGTGCATCACCTGAACAGTACAGTTTTGTCTAATTTTAGAATGAAAGCTCATTAAACCAGGGATTACATCTTAAGTCTTGTTCATTGCCATGTTCCCCAGTAATCAATAGCATGCTGCAAAACCACTTTCAGAATAACCATCTCCAAGATAAAGCCGTATGAAAGCCTTGTATTGGGGGTATATAGAACAGTTTTGTGGACTAGCCTTCAAGCTTTCAGCACTCATTAAGGTAATACCATTACATTTAGAAATCATACTCCCACCTAGAAACTTCTTGTACTTACCAATGAAACAAGTAACAGCAAGAATTGGTTTTAAAAAAAGGGTTCTCAAAAAATCTTTCTGCAAAAATTTTCATTTACCTAGATCCAATTTTCTTGTTTTGAAATAAATTTCCAACCAGCTCTAGTAACAAAGATTACAGTAACCGAGATTATTTCTGGCAGGTTTTCTGTTTAACAGTGCTTGGTATGTAATCAGTTTTACTGTTTACCCAGTAACTCTTCTGCCTTTTGGTTTTTCTAGGTCTTGCAGCAATAAAGGCCAGGGTTTTTTTAGTTTTTTTTTTTTAAAGAAAAAATGGCAAAGCCACAAAAATGGGCAGTAAGACTTAGAGGCAAAGGGTAGTCCCCAAAGTTCTTAAAAAACCAACAATCCACCCTAGATTTCAAGTTGACTGTTCTAGTGTAAATGTCTACTTCTTGTGATATTTTCTTCTTGTTTGTTGCAAGCAGCTTTGTCAATGGAGTTCCTATCAACCAGTATTGATTCAGAATATCCACATATAATCTTGGCTTCTTCTATTCTAGCCTGATTGATGAATCAGGAAAGGGATAGTGTTTGCTTTTAGTCATCTCTCTCCATGCTCATTAATGTTTTACACAGTGGGGCAACTGAAGGCTTTTTGCCTCTGCTCTGTGGGTGATGGCCCTACACATTCACTGTTCATTTTGGTCAGTTTCACAGTCATATGATTTTAAAAATCATAAGTTTCATTATTTCAGCTATTTAAATCTGAAATTTCATGGTGGTGTAATTGTAGGGGTCCTGACCCAACAAGGAGTTGTGTGTGCAGGGAGTATGTTGCAAGGTTATTGTAGGGAGTTAGCAGTACTGCTATGCTTGCTTCTGCACTGCTGCTGGCAGTGGCGCTGCCTTCAGAGCTGGGCAGCTGGAGAGCAGTGGGTGCTAGCCAGGAGCCCAGCTGTGATGGCGAAGTCACCGCCAACAGCAGCGCAGAAGTAAGGATGACATGGTATGGTATTGCCACCCTTACTTCTGCGCTGCTGCCTGCAGAGCTGGGCCCTCAGTCAGTAGCTGCCACTCTCTGGCCACCCAGCTCTGAAGGCAGCGCAGAAGTAAGGGTGACAATACTGTGACATCCTTAAAATAACCTTGAGATTCCCCTGCAACTCCCTTTTGGGTCAGGATCCCCAATTTGAGAAATGCTGATTTTGCCCATGAAATCTGTATAATATAGGGTAAAAGCACACAAAAGACCAGATTTCACAGTCCATGATGCATTTTTTTGTGGCTGTGAATTTGGTAAGACCCTACCCAGGGTATAGGTCGGGTTGGTTATTTTGTTTTGTTTTGACTAAACTATGCTTGGTAGAAATTTCTAAAAGAACATATGAAGAAAAAAATGTTTACACAGGTTGATTACTGTGGCCACACTAACCTTCTTCAGACTTGTTGTGACAGGTTTAGCTTTATTCTTGGCCTTCAGGGATTTGGTGTTGGCCAGGTGGAACACGCTCTTCGGCTTTGACCCTTTGGCTTTGTTCTTGCCCATGGCCTAGAAGGGGGTAAGACAACGAAATTCACCTTGTAAGTATGTGGCGGTATGGGCCGGAGCACGTGCCAGCTTTTTCACCGGTAAAATCGGTTTCTGGGCCTGCTACCCCAGGGAGTAAGAGCACTGGCGGGGGGTTTGTTTGCAGTTGAATCAGGCCGGCCCTCAGGAGGCTTGCCGCAGAGAACGGGCAGCTCAGACTGAAGGAGGCGGCGGGTCCCCACGCCGATCGGCCGGGTGCGGTCTGGCGGCAGCTGGGCGGCGCTGCGAGCCCGGCTGCCATCCCGCTGGGCCCAGCCCCCTGCAGGTCCTGCCCGCCCGTAACTCTCGGGAAACGGCGGCGGCGGAGGCTTCGTTCCCCCGCCCGCCGACGCGAGTAACAGGCGGGGTCGAGCCGGGATCCCCCCACCCCCCTCGGAGCAAACCCCGCGCCTTCAGCCAGAGCCGGGATGCCACATGGCAGCCCCCCGCTTCCTCAGTAAGACCAACCGGCCCCGCCGCCCGCCCTGGCCCACGGACACGCGCTCCCCCCCGCTCCGGGCCGAGCCCCAGCCGGCGCACGAGGGGCCCCTCCCCGGCCCCGCGCCCGGGCGCGTGCCCACCCCCAGCGCACCCAGCGCACTCACCGCAGCAGCGGCCGCTGGCTCTCACAGGGGGTGGCTTCGCGAGCGCCCCTGCGTCATCACAGGCGCGCTCCCGGGAATTTCCCCCGCCCCGGAGGCGGGAAACCCCGATCCTGAGGCCCCGCCCCCGGAGCCGCCCCGGCGTTTCCGGGCCGCGGCTGGACGACGGGGACCGGCCGCCCGGGGCGAGCCTGGCGCTCACGCGGGGACTCCGCCGCTGCGTGCTGCGCGTTTCCACGTGCCCGGGGCGGCCTTGCCAGCCAGGCAGGGGCCCTGCGGGGGCTGGGAGGTTGGAAAGGAAAAAATGGGTTAGTCTCTAAGGTGCCACAAGTACTCCTTTCCTGTCACCGGCGTGAGCCCGGTGCCCAGCGGGCACAAAGCCGCGCGTGCCGGTGGGGCGGGAGGGCGGACGAGCTCGGAGGCTAGGCAACGCGGCAGAAGGAAATCAGTGGCTGGGTCGGGCCCAGTCCCGAGATTATGAACAAGGCTCCCAGCCGACATACCGGGAGCAAGCGCGAGGGGGCGGCGTTCCCCCGCGTGTGTTTGAACTTGGGGGTGCTATCGCCCCGCTGTTGTTAACGCCTTCCTTGAATTACACACCAACAGCTGGGCGGGGGGGGGGGGAATCTTAGTTTTGACAGGTTTCAGAGTAGCAGCCGTGTTAGTCTGGATCCGTGAAAGGAAAAGGAGGACTTGTGGCACCTTAGAGACTAACACATTTATTAGAGCATAAGCTTTCCTGAGCTACAGCTCACTTCGTGGGCTGCAACATCGGATGCATCCCAGGAAGTGAGCTGTAGCTCAGGAAAGCTTATGCTCTAATAAATTTGTTAGTCTCTAAGGTGCCACAAGTCCTCCTGTTCTTTTAACATATTTTTGGTGACCTCAGAGTGCAGCCACCAACTCTTCCTGGTGGCCACTCTGAGAATTTTTTCCTGAAATACTTAATTAACTTTAGGAAAAACAAATAAACATGCACATATACATGTCCAGATCATTGTAATGTATTTATGTAGGGGTGGTTGTGTTTTTTTTTTTTTTTTTGAAGACTCAAATAAAAATAATGTACTGTGGTCTCTATTCTTTACTGGACCTAAAGAGAATAGAAACAAAAATAAGGTGCTTTGCATGTTTTGATTTTTTTTTTTTTTAAGATTGCTAGTTAGTAAGTCACCAGTGCTACTGTGAAAAGTGATATCACTTTTCACAGCAGACTTACGCAGCCCTGTTATGTCGAGGGACAAATTAAGCGCTGGATGAGAAGGTGGATAAGGAGGCAGGGACGCCAGGGGCAAGGGAGTTTTGGAGGAGGCAGTAGGGTCATGGTGATGGCGGCGGGTGAATCCAGGAATGGAGCTCCAAACCCTGCGGCTGGCAGACAGAGCCCACTGCCGCATGGCCAGAGCCTGCTGCCCACCACCTCAGGGCGGAAGCTTGAGTCATATCGCCCCTGGGAAGGTGGGGAACTCACACTGGTTGCCTGCTCCTACAGTGTTTGTGGCTCCGGAAGGGGGTAGGGACCAACCCTTGCAGGCAGCCCCAGGAGAGGAGCCGCTGCTTTGTCCCCCTGCTCCTCATCACAGCCCAGGTGGCTGTGGCTGCAAGAAAAGCCCCTGGTGGCTGCACGCAGCCACAGTGGCCGCATTTGAGAAATGCTGACCAAGAGGCACCCCTTGAGATCAATCAGCCACCCAGCTGTGCCCAGCAATTAGCAAGCCCTCGGTAACAAACAGTGCTTGCCTATTGACTTGATCCAGCATCCAGGTGATAAATATTATTTCTATGGTGCCATCTGCCTTCTTGCCCATTCTGCAACCACACTTAATTTTAGAAATATTTGAATTGAAATGCAGGACACCTCCCTGCCTAATTGGTTCAATTCCCATGCCTTTTGCTACTTCCTAGATGAAACGTTTTATATTTAAGAATGTTATTAATCAAAGTGAGGAAAAATTTTGTAATGGTACATGTCTGTTTTGAAATGAAACCTCACACAGGGCTAAAAAAGACGCTGAGATTGTGGGATGCTGAGCTCTCTCAAGTCCCACTGCAATCAGCGTTTGATGTTTTGCAGGCTCAGGCCCTCATTTTCAGTGTATGTTTTTCAAAAATAAATGTCTTCCTCTTGAAGACTGTTAAAAACATTATCAGCAATACCCACATGTCATGTGTGATCTGATTTTGTTCTCCCCTCCCATTTCCCATCCTGTATTAATCACCTGTTCTAGCTATGTGTACAACTAAGTGCATGAACAGGAATTTTCCGCTTGCTTAAAATATTAATCTTACTTCAGCAGTGTGAACATAAGGCCAATTTTACAGGGTGCTGAGAACTAACTGGCACCCAGCATCACTCAGCTCCCATTGATCTCAACAGATGTTGGGTGTTTACATCACCTCTCAGGATTGGGCCATATTTCTGGGCCTAATCTCAGCTCATTTATGCAGCTATGGTGGCTGTAAAACCTCTAGGCGAAGATGATGTGCAATGCTTCTAGTAGCAAATCAGCTGTGTTGTGTGATGTAAAAAGCAATTCTATATTCAGTAGTAGCCTGCAGAACCACATGTATACACACTTAACAAAGGGAGTGGTGAGGGTTGGACAAGCTACAAAATGGCAGGACCAGGGTAGAGAGTGGGCATATCTCTGCTCTGCCCTCCTTATTCTCCACCTGTAGCTGTGCTTAGCAACTTAGCAGTTAGTTACTCCAGCAGGCCCTTGAAAAAGTTTATCTGTGGTAAAGGAAGCAGAATGTTCTACAATGACTCCTTCCACAGAGTGCCACCTCTTTAACAGACAGCATTTGGCAGAGAGGTGCCATACAACAATAGGGTTTCTGTTGTAATGTAAGCTCTTCAGGCCTGAGATCTTCTAATTTTTATAGGTTTCAGAGTAGCAGCCACGTTAGTCTGTATCCGCAAAAAGAAAAGGAGGACTTGTGGCACCTTAGAGACTAACAAATTTATTTGAACATAAGCTTTCGTGAGTTACACCTCACTTCATCGGATGCATTCCGATGAAGTAAGCTGTAGCTCACGAAAGCTTATGCTCAAATAAATTTGTTAGTGTCTAACATGCCACAAGTCCTCCTTTTCTTTTTTCTAATTTTTATGCTATTGTAAAGTTCTTAGCACACTTTTAGGTGCTGTAAAACAGATGATCTCTGAAAAAAACAGCTTAGCACAGGCACATCCACGCTATTACAACCCACGGTGACTGTCCACTGCCATTGCTGGTGAAACCTCTCTCAGTCTTCATATCATAATAGTAGTCCTACTGTGCGAATAATGGGGCCAGAGCTCAGGCTAATGCCTCTGCTAATGGTCCTGGGCTTGATTCTGCAATCCTCACTCACTCAATACTCCTATTGACTCCTATTAATGGGAATTTTATGTGAGAATAGCTGGCGTTCATAGTATATATAGCTTGGAGAGCATGTATTTGTTCTTCATCACTGTGGAAAAACAACAGAGACATCACAAGTCACTTGGAAATACCAAATAAGAAAATGATGAACAAATATTTTGCAGGGTAAAAAAACAGATAGCATTATAGATGCATTTAATTTTAAAAAAGAGTGTAATATCATCAAACTGTTTTGTTCTGCTCACCATAGCTACAAAAAGCAAGTCTTTTTCAGTGTCACAAACGCTTTGTTCATTAGAGCAGAACTACAGCTTTTTCTACCATAAAAAGAAGTAGAAGGTTGCTTTTCAAACACAAGGCAACCCTAAGACACACGTGCTTAACTTTGTGCACTGTGAGCAGTCATATGGTCACACAGTGTGTAAAGGTTAGCAGCACACATGAAATTGTTTGCAGGATACAGGCCCCAATGAGTAACTTAAAGGGATGCCATCAACTTGGAAATCTAACTTCCATCTGAAAATTTTGTACCTATCGTTGTTACAAATAACCCCTTGAGCTGCTATAACTGAAAGATTTTAAAAAAGCAACACAAAACATTTTCTCCCATTTGCATTTGGCAGCACTTTGTTTTACTCAGGACATCAGCTTGAGGGTTTTCTGATTATGCTTGATTTAAAAGAATCAAGAGGTTCTTTTAAATTGCATATAATCTATGGCTCTTATTTTTCAGTCTATACTTACGTAAATATTGGAAAATTCAGCTTTCTACTTGAATCATGGATAGCTATGGAAAATAATGTGCTTAACTACAAGGTTAATACTAATTTATAAAAATACTTTCTTGGTTTCCTTTGGGTTGCTTGTTTGGAACCACATTCCTTCTTGAATCCAGTTAAAAATATTCATCTTTAGTACTTATCCTAGTACAAGATCATCTTCAAGGGATCTCTCTGCAGTAAATCAGGTAAACAAAACCAGCAAGAGAAAAGAAATGGAGTAGCATATAAATAAATAGTATGCATAATTCATTAACTAAATAGAGCAAATGTAGAACTCAGAGTCGTTAGTAAAATATGTGCACTTTGTTGTACATTGGAAAGAAGTCATTTAATCTTCAGGAGTAGGTTTAGGCTTCATTTGTTTTATAATTTTTTGTAGTATATGTGAAATGTTCCCATAAAACTTGATGTTTAGACAATAATTGTATTTTGTTTTAAAAATTATTACAATGAAGACAGGAAACAAAATATAAGAAATGCTTACTTTTAGGGCCAGATTTTCAGTGTTGCACATGTACTGTTGCAGGAACTGTTTGTGCAAATGACATTTAGCCACTGAATTGGTAATTTGTGCATACCATTACCACAGTTATGTGCTCATATGTGTGTGCACAGCCAAGTGTACCCTCAGAAAGCAAAGAAAAATAACCCCTATTTAAAAACAAACAAAACCACAGCTCATGCCTTTTAAGCCAATTTCATTATATTTAAGCCTAACTCATGATTTGTAATCCTTTGTTTGGCAATACCAAGACAGACACAGATTCAAACGTATCCCTCCATGCACACATACACAATAGATAATGTGTTATAAGCAAAGAACTCCCTTACCCCAACTATAAAACAATCAGTTTTTCCCCCCTACAGGCCTGGAAAAGAAGAAAGAAAGAGATTATTGTTAAATACTTGGGACGTTAATAAATAGGGCAGCAGCAGCTACCACCAGACCCCTATGAGGGCTAACAGGGATCTAGGGTTAGCACAGCTGTGTCCCTAACAGCCTCTCCAGATCAGCGGCTGGGCTATTGACCTGCCTAACAAACCTAGTGTAGACTCCAAAGCCTGTGTCTTGGCTGAGTATGGCAGGCTGCTGGTTCCTAATCTCTGCAACCTCTGGGATTT